GTGGAACGGATGCATCCAACTACTTTCCTGACACATTCTTCTCATCAAATTTCACCCTTTCTTCTTCTGTACACTTTTGAGTTCTTCCAACTGTCCGTAACTCCCTTCACGATCAATTCAAAACGTATCATTTAATAAATTCGTGCAAATTGTACTACCTCAAGGTAATATTCTGTCGATGTGGCAAAACAATGAATTTCTCCATGTTGGATCGCTTGAGTTAAATTGTCATCGATTGAAATATTTGGCATTCAATTCAATCGATGACGTTGTGTATTGACGACGGGTAAGGTTAAAGAGACTTTTTTGTGGAGGAACAGAAAAAATTAAAAAATGATTAGCGCCGTGCTCATTCTCAATTCAAGAGGACATACCCTGATCTCACGTGCCTACAGAGACGATGTCGAAACGTAAGTACTTACGGTAAAAGGAATCCATCTTGAAGCTCATCATCATCGTATCGGCCACACTTATCAACGACGATTTTATTTTCATCATCACTTTTTGGATATCCAAACAATAACTCTTGTTCCGTGCAATGATGATGATGACTCGGCCGTTATCCATATGCTCATCATCATCATCATACGACGACTGAAACGACAACAACTTCATAACAACAAATATATATGATTGGAATCATGATTTACACTATACCACAACTACGTCCTTCAAACTACTATACTTATACACTCTCTCCCAACAACAACTGATTCATCATTCTCATCATCAATTCACAACATCTAGTCGTTCCATTTCGAGCGCTTTCAGATCTCAAATTTTAGCTGCCAAGATCGCCGACAGATGTCCAGTCAAAACTATTGGAAGCGTTACATTCATGTTCATTCGTCATGAAGAGATGTACTTGCTAGCCGTAACAAAACAAAACCCCAGTGCTGCTCTAGTCTTTGAATTTTTGTATAAATTGATTTTCATTTTCCAATCATACTTTGATGGAAAATTCACGAAAGGACGCATTGAAGGAAAACTTTTCACTTGTCTATGAATTATTGGACGAAATTCTTGACTTTGGTTATCCACAAAATCTGGAACCTCAAGTGTTAAAGGCCATTATCGTACAAGGTGGTATGAAAGATATCAAGCCACATGAACTTGAAGCTAGATTAAAGGAAGTCACAGGAGCCGTATCTTGGAGAAAGGCAGGTATTGTCTACCGTAAGAATGAGGTGTTTTTGGACGTCATTGAGGATGTGAACATGCTTTTGAGCAACAAGGGTACTGTTTTGAGCAGTGACGTTACTGGTCGTATTGTAATGAAGTGTTTGTTGAGTGGAATGCCAGAATGTAAATTTGGTTTGAACGACAAACTCATGTTGCAACAAGAAAAGAGAACTGCTAACAAGAAGAGATATAAGGAAATTGATATCGATGACATTACTTTTCACCAATGTGTCAAATTGGGTAAATTTGACAGCGACCGTACAATTAGCTTTGTTCCACCTGATGGTGAATTTGAATTGATGAGATATCGTATCACTGATGGTATTGTTCCTCCATTCCGTTTGCTTTCACCAATTGTTCGTGAAGTGAGCAAGACTAAATTGGAAGTTAAGGTTACCATCAAGTCAGTCTTCCATTCTCGTTTGTTTGGTAAGAATGTTATTGTCAAGATTCCATGTCCATCCAATACTGCCAAATGTAAGATTCATGTTGCCCAAGGTAAAGCTAAATATAAGGCAGAAAAGGGAGCAATTATTTGGACAGTCAAACGTTTCCCTGGTGACACTGAATTGACACTCTCTGCTGAGGTCGACTTGATTGCACAAACTGCAGAAAATAAGAAGTGGTCCAGACCTCCAATCGGTCTCAACTTCCAAGTACCAATGTTTACTGCTAGTGGTTTGCATGTTAGATTCTTGAAGGTCTTTGAGAAGTCCAACTATCAAGCTGTCAAGTGGGTCAGATACATTACCCAAGCAGGTGTCTATGAGTCTAGAATTTAATCCTTTTTGAATAACATTTACATAATAATACAGTAAGCGCAGTATTTCGAAATTCCAAAATTCAAATTAATTTTACTCAACCTAAAATAAAACTGTAAAACTATAAGTGCAAAGTTTCATCCCATTACGCACCGTAGAATTCCAAATTACCGGACGATTAAGGAACCAATATGCATATTGCTGTCACAATTCGAGAAGAGTTTGAAAAGATCGCATTCATGCGTTCATTCATCGATCACATTTGGCTCGTCATCTTGGTCGTTCGCAGATGTTCCTGCAGAAGTGCCCTCTGAACTATTTGGCTTCTTGATGTGATTCTTTCTGAATTTGAGGTGATTCATGAGGGCATAATTGTAATGGGAACACTTTTGAGAGCCTTCTCTTCATCTTCACAGCCATGCAGAAACGAACTTTTCGATAAACATTCTTTCAATTCCTTTTCTTGATTCTCGCAAAATACTTCTCCAACACAATTTACAGCCTTCTTTTAAATTCATCACAGACAGCATAATACTTCTTTCCTTCTTCAATTTCTGTTTCTGCTGCCTCACTGAAGGCAACATCTGTCTCCTTCTTTATACGTCTTGCTTTCAAAAATCTATTGCACAGCCCCAGTTTATAAAACCATTCAGAACACTTGGCATCACATTTTGGTATCTTTTCCTCTAAATTGTATTTCCTATTTTCAATTTGCCAAACTTGATCCAAAACTTTTGTCTCCACAAAAACCTTATTCTGCAAAATTTCATCTTTACATTTAAATATATGATCCTTTGTTTGTAATGACTCCACACACGAAGCTAATTTTGATGCTCTTACAGGATCCAACAAATGTCCAGTCAAACACGAGTAGTAAATATAGAGAGCTCTCCGAACCATCGTTGGACTAACTTCGTAATTACTCATCTCGGCAACCTCACTCAAACGATTCAAATACTCTTTACAGGTTGCATATCTTCGTTCACGAGTATCATATAAAAAGTGTCCGAGACTATCATATTGACTATAAAAGTGTAGAAGAAGGTGATAATCGAGGGATTTTTCAATAGGGGTTTGATGAAGTTTGAGAAGAGGAAAGTGCTGTTTGTGTGTGTTCCGACATTTTTTTTCAACAATTTAAGTCCAAAATTGGGATTCTCAAAATTTTCAACCTCGTGTTAATTATATTGATATAATAAATTACTGATCGTGTATGAGTGATTGGAATATTCATTAAATCCTTGTTCACACCAACCTTGTTTTGGGCACAAGCGCATGAGAAAATACGAGATATATTTTGGATATCTCAACTTGTTTGGCAATCCATTATTATTCAAACACAATTCATGGAAAATAAATTGAAGGTCCCATCACAATTCCACAAAGGTGACCACCAAACCTGCAGACATTCAGCCAGTACGTCGCTTTTCTCAGACAATATCATCATTTTGTCTAGACCTAAGAGGTATGGATCACCAAAATGTATCTCAAGACTTCTTTCAAAATGTAACATATACCAATTAATGGTAGCCAAGTGTCCTTCCGCTTGATGACAATTGTTCCCAATAATCACCATTACCTGATCTTGCA